GTGGTGAGGCTGGTGGGGGGGGTTGGGAGGCCTGTGGGGGAGGCTGTGGGTGGTGAGGGAGCCTCCCTTCTCTTCCCTGGTGGTCCAGTGGCCACTTCTTCCGGTCTGCAGCTCCTGTAATATCGCGAGACCATTAGAGCATCGCCGTGGTAATGCAGCCCTCACCAAGATCCACGTCTGATAAGGTCAATGGAAGCCTTAGCTGAAGGAGCCACTAGTTCACCACTGTGCAAAGCAGCACTAAAATACAGTATAAAGACAACCTGGAAAAGAAGAGACTCATAAGGAGATTGACAGACCGAAGCCAACACCCCACAGAGCCCACAAAGCAATTTAACTGACTAGGGATGCCGTCCGAAGGCACCCCCAACCTTTCAGAACTCTTTGAACCATGAAACCTTTTGAAACAACCTCTAAATCCAACAAGTGACACAAAAAAGGCATAGCTGCCAAAGTCTGCTCTGCCAAGGCATTGTAGTCATAGTGGAACTGCTTCTGGAGTAACTTTCCTGAAGCGCTCTCACTGAGAGTGTGACAGATGATCGGCAATCATGTTAGTAATCCCTGGAACATGCGCGTCTATAAACAAAATGTTAAATTCCACACAGCGCAACTCCAATTGCCTCAACAACACCAACACTGGAGTGAAACCAGGTGAAGTCCGATGAACTACCATCACCACACTCATATTATCAGTGTTTAAGATCACCCGAATGTTCTGCAAAAGAGGACCGCATAATTCCATAGCTACCATGATGGGGAAAAGCTCCAGAAACGTGAGATTCCAAACGAGAACTGACTCCTTTCATCCTCTGGCCATTGCTCGGCACAACAGAGACCCCTGATGTAGGCCCAACCCCACTGATCCTGAGGTATCCATAAGTAATTAAAGCTCATAATATGGTACCTCCCCTAGCTGCCAACAAGTGAGCCTATTATAGATTGCTAAAAATGAACTCGAAATAAGCAAATCCGCTTTTATCTATTTAGTAAGGCGAATGAAATGAAAGTGTTGCCTAATACTGACCATCACCATTGACATACGCCAGCAGAATGCACACCCCAAGGGCATGACATGATAGGCAAATGAAGGTGCCCAAATAGAGATTGCAGTTGAAGCAGCTGCACCTTGTCTTCCACGATCGTAACCCCCAAATCTGACTGACCGAAAACACAATAGTTCAATACAATCCGACAAATCCGCCGGAACCAAAAAAAGGAAATCATCCAAATAGTGCAACATAGAAAAAAAGACTCGAGACCTGAGAAAAGAACTAAGCAGCTCAAAAAAATAACAGAACATGGAATATCCCATGGGGAGGCACACGTCGAACACAAATTTCCGCTTAAAATGACACCCCATGAAATGGAAAGAGTCTGGGTGAATGGTGAAAAGCTGAAATACAGACTGAATGTCAAACTTGGCCAACAGTGTTCCCAGCCCAGTCAACTAAACCAACTCCAATGCCCAATCAAACAAGGTGTAATGAACCCTAAAAATTTCCTAAGCTATACCGTCGTGGAATGACCCAAATGATAGGATATAGTGATGGATAAGCTGGGAAATGCTGGGCTCCTTTTTTGGGACCAAATCTAGCAGGGACATCCAAAAAACGTTAACAAGAAATGGGCCCACCATGCAGCCCAAGCAAACATCTTTATTTAACTTAGCTGCCAAAATGTGCTCCTTACCCATTATGGAGGTCAAATTGGGTGCAAACAATGCCTCATTAAGCAGGACAAAATTGATTCTAAATCCCTCCATGAAGTATTCTCACAATACCCTCACCACCCTTTGCCTGGGGTATCACTCAAGCCACAGAAGCAATTTTACCACGATCACTGGTGTCCTCTAATAAGAACACCCATCCCTGGTGGACTTTGGCAATGGCTTTCCCTTCTTAAAGCAGGGTGAGCTCCTTTGCAGTGTTTGAACTCATGCTTAAAATGTCATGAGTCATGCCAATGACAATGGCTCTCATTGAAGAGCAGTAAATGCCTTTTCTATGTCATGCTGGAGAGCTACTTGGCACTCTGGTTGTCGATTGAGGGGCAATTACGGGCCATAAGCAGCAGCCAAAGGCTACAATCCTAAACCCCAAAAAGGAAGTGTGGATAGACCACCATCTTTTGTCTAAACTGCTGGTCATACTTAAACCCAGATAAAATCTGAGTAGACATAAAGGAAGGACCTTGTAGTGGAGCTCCCTATACCTTTGCTGGGTACTTCTGCCAAGGACCACTTCCTAGCTGGAACAGGGGAACACCTCAGCGCTTCTGCCGCATTTGCCTTGGCTTAAATGGGGTACTCGTGGAGCATCTCCATCCTGGAACAGGATAAGGACTAGTTCTATTCACTTCCAGGGTGTCACGATTCGGTGAACCTAACACGCCAACACACACACACACACACACAGAAAAGGTGCCGTACCGGACCTTAGAGTGGCCGGGCTAAGCACACACAGAATAGTCAGGAGACAAGCCGAGTAAGGGGAACCAGAAGACAGAATAACGTTAAAACGAGCCGAGGTCAAAGGGTAGGAGAAAGTCACAAAGTCAGATAAACAAGCCAGAGAGTACGTAACCAGAAGCACAAGGTAAGTAGAAATACAAGTAAGCAACGACCACAACAGGGCAGGGAGGAACAGGAAAGGTAAGTATTTAAACCAAAAGGTTAATTCTGATCAGAATTAACAATCACACGTGGGAGATATCTAAACCTCCCACTGTGATTGAGACACTGTGCCTTTAACGCGGGGTCAGGTGACTGACCCCGGCGTGTAATAACTTGAGCGGTCTCCCAGCGTGCAGCGTCATGTATGCTGCCGCTGGGGGACGTGGAGGAAACGGCGGGCGGCATCCGAGACTGGAGGGGACCGCGGACGGCTGGAGGGTGAGTACTGCGAGCGGAGTGCAGCCTCCCTTCGCAGCCGCCTGCGGGATCCCGACATTACCCCCCCCGAAGACCGCCCAGAGGGCGGGAAGCAGAAGGCTTCAAAGGAAACCGGGCATGAAAGGAGCGGACCAAAGAGGGAGCGTGCACATCAGAGCTCGAAACCCAAGACCGCTCCTCAGGGCCGTACCCCTTCCAATCCACCAAATATTGCAGCCGACCCCTAGAAACACGAGAGTCGAGAAGGGCAGCTACCTCGTACACGTCGCCAGAGACAGCGCGAGGGGAAACGGGCCGCCCGAGGGGACGAGAGAACCGGCTACACAGCAAGGGCTTTAAAAGCGAGAGGTGAAACGTGTTCGGGATACGCATGGAAGGAGGCAGGTCAAGGGAGTATGAAACGGGGTTAACCCTACGTAAGACCCTGTAGGGACCAAGAAACCTGGGGGCAAATTTCATCGAGGGAACCTTGAGACAGAGGTTCCTGGAGGACAACCATACCCTATCACCCGGAACATAAGAAGGCCTGATCCCACGTCTTCCGCAAAGAGGCGAGGTGCTGGTACATGGGAAGGAGTGTTTCTTGCTCTAGAAAATATGATACTAGAGTACTCGTAAATGTCAGAAAACCCTGTAGCCAATTCCCAAAAGTTGTTTAACCTTCTGTTCCGTGACCTCCTTCTCGCCGAAGTAAGTCTACTGTCAGGATTACTGTAGATGCCCAACACGCATAACTATAAAGATATAAAGTAAATACCTAAGACGTATTACCAGGCCTTAGAATGGCCGTATTTAGCTTTAAAAAGGCAAAAAGACACAAGATAAGGAAAAGCCAAGACAAAGGTCTAACGCAAACAATAAACAAGCCAAAGGTCAAGGAATAGAGAAATCAGAATAGTCAGGGGCCAAGCCAAAAGACAAGGAATACAGAGATCGGATAGTCAATAAGGGAAGCCAAGGTCAGATGCACATGAAATAAATACAAGAAACGCGCTCTCGATAAACAACTGGAAACCACGACAGGGCACTGAGAAATGGACAAACTAGGTTTAAATAGCTAAAGGCGCTTCCTGATAGGCTGTAGGGAAACATGTGATAAAGCTTATGTGTGTAAAACACCCATATTAAATGAATTGATCTGGCCCTTTAAGGGTTTAACAGGAAACCCTTAAATTATTCCCAGCTGCAGCGGGCAGCGTCTTTAATGATACCAACCCAGCTCCTGATAGAAAAGTCCCCTCCGGTGAGTGTTTGGCAGTATTCCCCTTAGTTTGTGGGAATACCGCCGTAGCGATACGCGTCCGCCGGGACTCATGCTGCCTTCTGACCGGAGCAGCGGCGGGACATCTACAGATTCCCTGTCCTAGAGATAGGTCTACATACTTCCCCCTAAAAATATTGTCTTTTGTTTCTATAGGCATATGGAGCCCCAGTGGAGAGAAATCACATGCAGGGCCCACTGGAAAATTAGCCAGGGAGGGAGACAGTGCTGCACCAGCGCTCGATCCCAGATACTGACGGGAACCCCACACCCAATGCAGTGGGCAAGTACTCTAACACAGTGTGCAGCAACTGCCTAACATCATTGATACTTCCCAGCCTGCACAGGGAGCACACTAACCACTTGCTAAGCACTAGCGCAGGAATGCCTACTATCCTGTAGGAAGGTCCCGTAGGAAGACCCTGAAGCCTGCTGTCTCTCTTCCCCAAAACCAGGTTTGCCACTTGTTCAGCCGTTAAATATGGGTGATGCACTAATTTTCCCTTCCTCTCTCGATCCAACTAAATTTGACCTGCAAATTCCTGCATTTGCTCCAAATTCAGAGGCTGGGATGTGAATGTCCGGATTTGGACCTGTGATGTCAGCATGTGTGGGCACATTGACATCATGTGCGCACCCCGTGATGAAGATGTGTGGGTGGAGAAACAACAACACCAGACCACGCCGATGTGGCCTTGTCACTTCCTGCCTGAACAGAGAAGGAGGGCTCCAACACCTCACCAAGATATGCACCGGCTCCTCCGTCTTACAGGCTTGGTCCTAACCGGTGTCATTGATGTCCTAGGTCCAGCAGCATTTGATCCTGAACTGTCCCGCCATGGTCCCCCACTGGATCTTCGTACTGGACTCTGCAAAAGCCGCAACGGTGGCCTGGATCTTCTGGTCCTCCACGGAGACACTTCAGTTTCAGTCTTATAGAGTGAAAAATACGGTATGTTGCCAATTATTTTGGTCCTTAGAAAATACCCCAAATTTTGCCACAATATCTCTAATATCCCAGTTTCAACTTATAAAAATAATTAACCCCTTATTTTTTTAAGGGTTACAATTCTCTACCTCAGAGGTGCCCAAAAGGTAGATCTTCAGATGTTTTAAAACTACAACTTACATGATGCCTTGTCATTCTAAAGACATGCAAATCATTATGGGAGTTGTAGTTTTACAAGTTTGAAAAAGATCTCAGTAGCGATAGAAACATTGCATGTTTTTCCCTGTTATTCCAATATAACTGCTGCATAAGTGATACTGGGTGCCTGAACTACGTTATTCTTTATACCATTGTTCTTTTTACAATTGGAGTGTGGTTAGCCAGACCCAGGTCTCCATACATTAGGACCAATAAGAAATAAGAGTGTGGATTCCTCTTTATGTTCTTGTATATAAATAATAGAAGGCAAAACTGTGGATATATTTTTTGCCCCAAATTGACCCACTCTTCCATGCTTGTGAGTATGTATGAGTTATAAGTTTATGTAGGGAATAACAAGAATTCCATGTGTGTCCTTTAAAAAAACAGTGTGTACAAAGAGGGGATATTACCAGTATTAAAAGACAGAGACAAAATATAAAAATGTTCTTATCCTCAAAGTACAAAACAGTCGCTATCCTGATAGAGTTAAACATTAGTGTGGTAGGTGATTTTATTATCCAAATACAAGCAACATATATTTTCTTTTTGAGTTTAAGATGTATTTATTTAACCAGCAGATTAGCAGCATGATTTAGTTTATTTTTATATTATAAACTCATATCTTATGTTTAATATACATACACTCACTCTTTTATTATAGTTGTTTAATGTGGTTATTTGGTTTTTTTGCGAAATTGTCCCAAACACTGTCAAACTTCTTCTCTGACTGCTCTGGCAAAATTAAAGCAGTTAATTATTTGGCTCAAAGTCACACTGCTGCAAAACAAAGTTACTATTTTTTTTTTCTTCTCCGACTGATCCCTTGAGTTGCTAACATGAAAATGTCCTTTTCAGTGCTTTGATAAAGCTGATGAAGTACAGGAGGCATGGTCCCCTAATCAGTAATATGAATCTCATGCTTTGTTTTGCTTAGTAGTAGTTATTATTCTCTCTCATATAAGCACGTTTATTGAGGGCTACCAAAAGCCCAGAAGCACATAGGTCAGAGAACAGCATTTTGATGGATTATGGGATTGTAACTGTCCCTGCCAGCTGACAGCTTTTATTGGCTGGGAGGATGAGCCTGTAAACCTTTATATAATTATAGTATTAAAGCCACTGTGCCTCTGTGTTTCTGGCGCTTGTTCAGGGATCAATGTGAAGATAATTTCAAAAATGAATAGTAAGTATTGATCGTCCCTTGGTGGAGTCTTATCAGTGTCTAAACCAGAGTACTGTAGATTATAACTTCAATGTCATTTATGATGATATGATACGTATTACAGAGTAGCAATTTAAACAAAGGGGTGATTTAATTCACAATGGATTTTTGCTGTGTGATGGGTAATAAATCACAATCTGTGTAATTTTTAGAAATGAACACATGTTGGCAGTAGTTCAGGGCAGTTCCTACGAGATCTGAAAATGACCAGTGAGGGCAAATATCAGCAGAGAATCCTTCTGAATGATTGGCCCTTAGTTGATTCTGACATTCAGATGACCTTAGAGCCTTTGCTAGCAGCTTCTGGTTAATTTTCTTCACTGAGGACATAGTGTAACTTTCTATCTGCCTGCCAATTACCTGTCATTTCCAACTTATCACCTTCCATTTTTTAAGACACTAGAAGCATGTCCTCTTTTTGACATTTTAGTCATGTATTTAGTTCCTGAGCTACCTTGTTATTATACATTTCAGTAATTCAACTTAAGTTGTGTGATAAAAAAAAATTTAAATATAGTTTACACAAACATCACCCTTCATTCTTCGATTCTTTTCGCAGGTATTACTAAAATATTTGTATTATTTGTCTGTAAACAAATACCAGTAAGATGATTATGTTTCAATCAATCTAAAAATATTTTGATACAGATCATTAATTTCACTGTGAAATCTAATTTATAACCTGTATATATTTTCTATGTAGTATGTAAGAATTCATTAATTTAAATAAAATTGCATTTAAATTAAGTAAACTATATTGACATCTATACACTGTTTTATTATTATTCATTGTGACTGGACTTGTGCACTGTGAAAACATGAAGCTCGGTTGAACCATTTTTTCAGAAATTTTTTTTTAAGACAACTGAATTTCAGTCAAATGTTGTAACCTGAGGGGTCGAAATGTCAGTCGATTTACAGATGTAATTCTTCTTTACCTTTTTGGATTAAAATCACCATTTAAAATGTTTTCAAGTCCTGTGAGTGCACACTTTATGAATATTTGGATATATATATATATATATATATATATATATATTACATAGAAACCCTTGTTCGTTGTGTATCTTCGAAGCCTATTACCTTAGTTAGACTAGGCCTTAGTCAAACCTTCATTTCGCATAGGAGCAGCTTCATCTGCATCCTGCCACAACGTTCCCACTCACATAATAAAGAGAATGGGCCATTGGAAATCTTTCGCTTATTGCAGGTAGATACAACGTCCAGAATAAGAAATTAGGAATGCATTTAATAGCATGGCTTTGTAAGCATTGTTTTACTGGTTTAATAAAGTTTTGCAACATAACTTTTTGCCTTCTTTATTTTAAGCCTAACCCCTCGTTGGTTCCGGCAGACCACTAGGACTTTATTATATAGTAGTATTAATCCATATTACGATCAGCTGTGGAATCTAACCACAAATGTAAAGGCCGACAGCGTGTAGTTGTGGGAGGAGTTGTCTGGCCTATTTAACTCCAGACCCCTTACCTGCAGTTGAGTTCCAGCTTTGCCCTCTCTCCGTACTACTTTTTTTTTTTTAATTTTATCACTTTTAAACAGGTGTGCCCTCTTGATTACAGGCCTAACCACTCGTCGGTTCCAGGACACCACTAGCCCTTTTTTCCCCCTCTTTTGCCCACTTCTCACAATAAAATCAACATTTAGTGTCCCATAGACATCAAACATTTATTTGGCACTGCAGATGGAATCTAGAATCATAAATTGAAACAAACTTGTTCATTTGTGATTTGGATACATTTGTAGGATAGATTTTAAAATTTGACAGATCACTTGGTCCAAATTCAGACAAAATTAATCTCCTTAATTAATCTCCAAGTATAATTGTGACAACAATACTCATTAAACTCCAAACTGCCTTTAACCAATTCTTAAGTCTGGTCATAACATACGGTCTACCTCTAGTCAGTACTCCATATTAACAAATAAAATAAAGAAGCAATTTAAGCAATATTTTTATAATGAGCACCACACGAACGCTACAGAAAATATTTATTGTTTCAGAAGTTTGCAATTCCTGTAGAGATGCACTTTTCTGATTCTGCAAGAAGGTCCTGACACTCTATTGCAAATACTTAAATATTTGTTTTACATATCTAGTCTTACAACTATATTGAAATTACTGTAGTTATAATTAAAAAAAAATTTAAATTTATTTTCCATGGTCAAACACTCCAATACATAAATGAAGAAGCAAACAAAAATTAAATGACATCTCACAAGTTATCTAACAATATTCCTTTGCAAAAATTATAACGCATTGTGGAATACGTTGGTGCTGTATAAAAGTATGTAAGAATAACAGCATAATTTACTGTATGAAGAAATAGATGTGAAATATTCTGCCATCTGAGAGTGAAATAGCTTGATTAGCTTACTTAAAGGGACACTCCAAGCACCCAGACAACTTCTGCCCATTGGAGTGGTCTGGGGGCCAACTCCCACTACCCTTAACCCTGCAAGTGTAATTATTGCAGTTTTCATAAACTTCAATAATTACATTGCAGGGTTAACTCCTCCTCTAGTGGCTGTCTAATAGACGCTGTGTGAGGACCTCCAGTGTCGCTAAAATCCCCATAGGAAAGCATTGAAAGCATTTTCAATCCTTTACTGTGGAGAGGTCTAATGCGCGTGCTCCCCCGCCAGATGACGTGGAGGAGCGTGGGTGGAACCAGAAGCAGCGGCGCTGTCTCAGGTAAGTCACTGAAGGGGTTTTGATCCCTTCAGCAACCGGGGATGGGTGGTGGGAGGGAGAGAGGACCTGCAGTGCCAGGAAAACTATTTGTCTTCCTGGCAGTGGAGAGTCCCTTTAAGAACTACATCACCTATGCAAAGATTTCTTTCCTTTAGAGTCAATTGACCCTTTTAACATTCTAAGGTGCTAACATTAGTAGTATTGAATTAATTAAGGATAATTAACCCAGAACATGTTTGCTTGATATCAGTCTGTCTGTCTAATTCAGGTGTAGGAACCCGTCAGTAGTGATGTACCGAACGGTTCGCTGGCGAACGGTTCCTGGCGAACATAGCATGTTCGCGTTCGCCACGGCGGGCAAACATATGCGCGGTTCGACACGCCCCCTATTCGTCATCATTGAGTAAACTTTGACCCTGTACCTCACAGTCAGCAGACACATTCCAGCCAATTAGCAGCACAGCCTCCCTAGCAGACCCTCCCACCTACTGGACAGCATCCATTTTAGATTCATTCTCAGCTGCATGCTTAGTAAGAGGAGGGAAAGTGTAGCTGCTGTTCATAAGATAGGGAAAAGCATAGCTAGGTTAGGGATAAGGGTATGCTTTTTTTGGATTTTTTTTTTCTATCTAATGTAAATGCACTTAGTTGTCTGCCACTGCTGCCAGCTTCTGTGTCAGGCTCACGGTGCCCATTTCCCCAGTCAGTGCCACCAATTAGATCTGGTGTCACAATAGCTTGGATTTAAAAACAAAAAACTTTTTTCACTGTTATAGATTGAATAGCAGTCAGTTGTCTGCCACTGCTGCAGCTTCTGTGTCAGGCTCACAGTGCATACTGTGCCCATTTCCCCA